AAATTTCTGAATATAAACATATTCATAAAACCAAAGTACACGATTAAAAAATGACACTCTGAAATTACTAATGAGTATAAGGTGCCATTTAAAATCAAAGTCACTATATTTTGTTTCTAAATAGCAGTCCCCAACCTTTTTGGTACCAGGGACCGGTTTCATGGAACACAATTTTTCCACAGATGAAGGGGGTGGCACTCGTGGGCGAACAACGGGCAGTGGCTGTAAATACAGATGAAGCTTCTGCTCACTCGCTCACCCACCGCTCACCTCCCTCCTGCTGTGCAGTCCCCCACCCCTTCCTCAGTTTCATGGAAGACAATTTTTCCATGCATGGGGTGGGAGGAAGGGGGGACTAGTGGAGCTCTGCTGCCCGGTCCCTAACAGGCCACAGATGGGTAGGGGTTGGGGACCACGGAGGTAACAGATACTTTAATTCCAGAAGAAATATGTTAGTGATGAAAATCAACCAGGTCTCATTTTCAACAGCATCCATAAAGCATAAAGAGCAGTAGGAAGTGCTTTAACCCATTAAACCTCCAGGCCTGACACTGGCACACAAATGAAAAGGTTCTGATACAGTAATATCTAACAAATAACAAACTGTGCTGTTAGGAGATATTTCATTTCCCACAAAAAAAACACCAAAAGACTATTTCTAAAGAGATGTGTACAATTTTGAGCAGCTTCCTAAAAGAAGGTGAAGGGAGCTAAGAATATGCTGTATTTACTTTTCGATTGTATTTACAGTTCCCACATTCCTGATTACTATCATTTAAGAATGGATTTTTAGTGCTTAATATTCAATCAGGTCAATCTTTTCCCATTCAAGTAAATGGCAAGAAAATTTTAAGAATACCTGAAAATAAGTGTGGTAAAGTAAATAAAAGTAAATGTCACATACCCTGTAAAAGATATCTTGCACTCAAATGCACATTAATGCTTGCATGTAGGCCAGATATGAGTCTGTAGAATGCTCTTTTTTCTACACAGAGTCCTAAAAAAGTCAGTGATTTAGAAATAAAATTTCATGTGAATCTTATAGATGCAAAATTAATTTCATATCTCTTGAATGAGAAAAAAATTTTATCACTTAAATTTATTTAAAAATTTCCAATTACCTTCTAGCCAACTGTAAAAAGTGTTCTCTGAAATTAAAAGGAAAACAAATCACAAGATTATAAAAATGCCAAAATATAAGTTTTTCAAGTTTTAAAGCATTATAGCAAATTTGTACCAAACAGTGATTTCAAGATTGTTTAACCTAAAGGTCCAAGTCTTATTTGCAATTTCTCCAAAGGAAGAAGAGAAGTTCTTGGTATGGATTCAGTTAAGTACCACTCTGCTGCTCAGTCTTTAAAAGGCTTCAGCATTGACTTGGATGTCCCCAGTCTCATAACCTTCTGGATAAAGTGTTTTATATAAGGTCAAAATACAGAATTTAAATATAGCAAATCAGTCAAGAATAGGAAAATACCTAGCCCTGATAACAATTCATGCCATGAAAATTAAGGATTCATTATATGCTTTTT